GCGGTGGGTCTGATGAGTTGCACCTCGACCGCAGTCTCCCCCCCTCGTGCCAACTTTGAGTTTGGAGGGCAGGGGCGGTGTTCATTAATTGTTTCCCCTCTACCGTATCTACGTATTGGATCTGCGTGCTGAGCCACGTATGAAATACGCTCCGGACTGCGTATTGCGCATCGGGGCAGCCAAGGTCCGCCGACCGGGCCTGCGAGGGGCTCAGCCAACGCAGGGGCCTCAGTGGTGAACCCCTGGGGGATGCGCAGCGATCGCGGCGGTCCGCCCTCCACTGGCCCTGGCCGCGGCCGCAGAGGCGCCGCGGCGGGCCACGGGCCCGCGGCGAGGCGGCGAAAAAGCCGCCGCCACGAGCGGGGCTCACGGCTGCCGCGAGGACGCCAGGCAGAGGCAGCGGCGAGGCGCAAGGATCGCGCAGCGGCGAGGCGAACAGCGATCACGGCGGCGACCGCAGCGGCCCTGACCGCACCCGCAGGGCGCAGGGTCGGTCAGCCTCGGATCGCAGAACAGGATCGGATCAAAATGTGCGTCGGGTCGCGCTGCATCGGCACGGAGTCGGAATCGAGCCGGATCGGCCGAACCGGAATGCGCACAGAAACGACGCCGTGCGAGCATCGGGCCGCATCGGATCGGCGGAACATCGGAACCGAACAGGATCGGGCCGGGCCGGCCGAGGCCGACATCGAATCGGACCGATCCGATCGAGATGGACCCCAGGAGTGCCAGAAGAGCACCAGGGCCACTCCAGCGAGGCAGTGGAAGATCTTGCCGCCAGGCCGCTGTGGCCAGCGCCGACTGGGGCACCGTGCGGCTCAGCTTCTGGTAGCGGCCCCTGATGTAGAGGCTCTCCCGGCCTCTGGTCGGGACTCTGAGAGGTTGGGAAGCAACTCCTCGGAAGTCGTCGCAAGAACAATTCAAACCTTGAAAACCCGAGCGAGGGCGCTTGAGCTGAATAAGAACCCACTAGGCCGAACTAACCCAAATTTAACCGAGAATGAAACACGATCAAGCGGGAGCAGGCTGGATTAAACCGGATGAAGCGGGAGGCGCCCAAGAGGGCCCCAAAGCGGCCCCAAAAAGGGGCCCCGAAGAGGGAACGCGAACCGCGAATCCTAGCCTCCCGCCCCCAGAGGCCCCCCCCGAGGATGTCCACCCCCGATCGTGGCCGAGGCCTGCAACCAGTTCAACGCGGCGCTATGGATGGGCATCGTAGAATTCGATAAAACATTCGGAACCGTAGAGCACGACACCCTCTCAGCACGTCGCGAGCAAAGTGTGCCCGAATGTTACGTTGACTTGTTGAAGCGTTTATACCGGCGACAAGGGGCAAGACTTGCGGCGGGAGACACGAGCCAATTCTTCGACATCACGCGCGGGGTGAAGCAGGGCGACCCGATCAGTTTTTTTTTGTTCATCGTGGTATCATACACTATATTCAGGAGGTCGAAAAGTACATGGAATGACTTGATCACCAAACAGTATCGCACCTACTACGGCATTGTCGTGTACGACCCGACACACCCGCTCACGAACGTGGTTTGCTGACGACGTCCTCCTCTTATGCACCAGCAAGCGGGACGTGTCCAGAATGCTCGTAGACCTGGAGACAGAAGCACTGAAGTATGGCTTCAAGGTGCACATGGGCAAGACAGTCATTCTCACAAATGTGCTACCCAGACCGACGAGCTTCTAGTGTGCAAGGCGTGCTGCTCGCGAGCTACAATATGCTGAATCTGAAAAATATGCGGGCTGGAGCCTTAAATTTGATGCGTACCAAGAAAAATAATTGGCAAACCGTATTTCTGCAGACTGGGCACGATCACACGCTTGAACGAAGCTCTCTGCAGTCTGCGTCTCCCCGTTTACCACTGGCTGACGCTGTTCAACACGTGCATCACGCCATGCGTCATGTACGCAGCAGACGCGTGGACGCTCAAGGTCCGTTCAGTCCATGTCCTGGAAGCAGACGTGGGAGCTGGCTGGAAAGATCGGTACCTGCACCGACAGGAGGTGGAATACTCGACTGATGGGCTGGAAGCCGTGGCCTCGCGTCGCAGCGGGTCGTTCGCAGGGTGGACAACGGAAGCGCTGGACAAACGTGCGATCACCGGCCGAATCTGCGCAATTTCTTTCCTTGCCGCCGCGGCTCAGCGCATCGCAGGAGAAGGCGGGGACCCCGCTCTCTCTACGGGCCGTCTTCTTATTAGTATCGATATTATTAATATTGCTATCATGATTCGTATCAATCTTCTTACTACTATCATTCCTATTACTATTCAATAAATAATATTGCATATTCTTCTTATCCTTCTACATGGTCGCTTATTGACCACCCAGAAATCCGAAACTAGCCCACAACCCAAAAACCGCAAGACAGACAGCAGACATCCGACGATGCGATGATGTGTTCATCGCCCGGCGCCCCTCAGAATTCTCGACCCCGTCCCCAAGAAGTGGTTTCTAATATTGGGTCCATTGTTGATGGCCCACGGGCCTGACAATGGCTTCACGGGGCCACAATGCTGGGGCACTGAAATCCGACGTCGCAAAAAAAATACAAAGCCGTGAACAAATTGTTCGCCGGCGCGGGCCCAAAACCGTATATGTGTAGCTACACAGGTTGTGCAATATGTAGTGTGCGCTACATGTAGCGCATCTTATGCTGAGCAATCTATGTTGTTCAATCCATGTTGTACCATCTACGTGGAGTAAGTTGTGTGCGATGTATGTGGTGTACTCTATGCTGTGCCGTGTTTGCTGTGTTGCCTCTGTTGTGCCACCAACGTGGTGCAATATAGGTGGCGCAGCATACGTGGTGGTGCAATCTATGTTGTGGCACATACGTGGACCGCAACACAGGTTGTGCAAATTACGTGGAACTAAATTTCTGGTGCAACACGTATTGCACAATAAATGTGGTGCAGCTCATGTGGTGCAACCTATATTGTGCATTCGACGTGGTGCAATTCATTTTGCCACACTTGAAGTTGTCAAACCCACTGCTCGCGCAAGCGCCCGACTCACCCACCCGCAAAGTACTTTGCAAAACCCACGCGGCGGCGATTGCGATGAGTGGTCGGCGCTGGCTGGCGCATCGCTGCGGCCGCGCTAGCGCGCGCAAGCTTGCGCGCAGAACGGCCATCTGGTTTGGCGCGACCGACGCGACCGCGGTGGCGCTGACAGCTGGGGACCCCCCAACGCATCTCGCGGGCCGCGCGGACGCGCGGGCACTTCAGTGCGGGTGGGTGACTCGGGCGGGCGCGGTATCATGGCGACGTCGACAACGGCAGACATGATGATGGTGATGATGATGATGATGATGATACTAGCTATGCGGGTGACGAGGATGACGATGGCGGCAGCGAGGCCAATGACGGCGCCGATGCTGATCACGCCGATGACGATGATGGTGTCCAGTGTCGGTGGTGAAGGTTGTGGTACGATTTCGACATGCGCGCGCGGCCGGTGGCCCGTATTGTATCAGTTGACAGGGACCTTGCACCACACGGCACGCGTGTAAGAGCGTTCGAATGATTCCGACATGCGTGCACGCGCGCGAGAGGCACGTTTGGTCGCATGTGATAAAAATGTTCGATCAACATTGCATTCCATAAGAAGTCGCGACAGATCGCGCGCAGACAGTGTTTTCTATATATATATATATATATATATATATTATATATATATATATATATATATATATATAGATACACATACATACATACATACATACATACATACATACATACATACACACACATACATACATACATACATACATACATACATACATACATACATACATACATGCATATATACATAAATGCATACATACATACATACATACATACATACATACATACATACATACATACATACATACATACATACATATATATCTACATACATACATACACATATGTATATGTTTGTGTATGTATTAGGTTTACATAAACCACACACACAATCAAGGAAAAAACAATGGTTGACAAACAGTGTTTTCATACGTCATCGGGGCATTCGGTTTTGACATCACTACGCAACCTGAGGTGGTTGAAGGCTGTCGGCATGCGCGGAACGACACGCGCATGTATTTCGTCCCATCTGTTGCAAGGGATTCTTGCCAATGGATGATTCATGATAAGCGCGCGCGAACAGCATGATTTGACGAGGATGGCGGGGGGGGAGCCAGGCTTGGCTGGAATGATATGAGTTCATATTTTGAATGAACGATGGGGTTGAATCATCTGTAAATTGTACATCCACGGGGTGGATCGATAACCCCGGCCTCGGGGGGGTAGATCCGAATTTTATTGTTATGTCGATAAGTTTTTCTTATATATAATACAAAAAACTATGTGATGCATTCGATGTGGCGCAGTCCTTGTCGCGGCGACGACACGGCGACGGGGCGGCGACGGAGAGCACGGGGTCGCCAATTCAACACCCATGCCCAAACGACTGGCGGCGACGAGGCGGCGACAGGGTGGCGACGGCAACCACGGATCCGCCACTCCAACACCCATGCCCAGACGACGGGCGGCGACGAGGCGGCGACGGGGCGGCGACGGGGCGGCGACGGGGCGGCGACGGCAAGCACGGGGCCGCCAAACCAACACCCAGGCCCAGTTCCTTTGATCAGGAATAGAACACCCGAAATGCAAACATTAATGGAACAGCACCAAAGCCCTGAACCCCATCTCTCTGCAGCACTTTCGGTCATGATCGATATGTGATGGCCCCCAGGCCCGAAACCGAGTGACATCGCCCAGCGCGAGAAAATGCAACACCTGGATCTCAGGGGATTGATAAACGAACGGTGTCAAACCAGCCGCATTCATGTTTTCGGGGCGCCAGGCGTCCGGGGTTGCGGGGCGCGGGGCGCCTATCTGGAGATGCACGGCGCCGCGCCCGTCCACGCGCCCGAGGTGTTCTGTCAGGGAGGAGCCGCCCACCACCGCGAGGCACCCCGCCGCGTCGCGGCCGCCTAGAGC